ACCCTTGATCCAGCCGTCCAACGTGAGCCTCTTAAGGTGTTGGTCGAGGCTCTTGGCTATCAATCCATGAGCAGATACGACTATCGGAACAATTATCACTGAATCGACATTCCACATATCGACAATCTCGTGAGATAAATCCAAATATTTTATTTGTTTTTCTTTTTCAACTTTCACGAGATTCTCGTCATGAGGAACGGCGATATCAACAATAATTGCGCGGCGCTCTAATCGATCTATCACTACAATATCAGGCTTATTAGCAACAATAGTCCTGTCTGTGATAATAGATCGATCCCAATACAACGTGGCCCGACCATTCTCGAGAACTGGGTCGGGCACATACCTGTAGTATGGCACCTCTAGATTCACAAGATGGTATTTAAGAGCAAGCTGTTGGTGTACAATCCTGGCTACTTGGTTGTGCCTATGCAAATATTCACCGTTAGCAAGACGAGAACAACCAGAAATGATATGCCTGATTGATTCCCCAGGACGGTGACATGCCCGACAGATGTCAACCGTACCATCTTTCAGGATATATTTCCGATAGTTATTCGCCATGATAACTTCGTCCATAATCGCACAAACAAAACCTTCAGTTTCTCCGAAGAGATCACCATACCGTAGCCAAGTCGTAGATGCTTTAAAGTCTATATCGGACCCGTTTAGGGCCCGATAAAACCGGCCATGGAGCTCTTTGCCCTTCCATACTTCCCTACGATCATTAGTACTAAATACTACAGGTTTGCGCCAATTCTCTTTAGCCAGAGCGAGCGGGGTGAATCCGATATCCACTGCAACTACATTGCGATGCATTCCCACATCGGTATGTAGAAAATATTCTCTGAGATTGCATATCTCCCGATTGTGTAGGGTCTTGATATTTAATAATCCGCGACCCCCTAGCTTTCGCGGGATATACAATCTCATAACCGATGAACGTGGGTGGTGCATTCGAAATGCAGTCAGCAATGTACGGACTCTCCTATCAAGGGCATCTAGTTCGGTCTGAGTCCATTTAAGTATACCAAAGGAGTACATCAGAATCGGCATGACCCAACCATTGCAGGCTCGCACCTTGTTGCCCCCCGATAAAAGACTTTTAAGTACTTTATTATTATTATTATTATGAATAGTATTTTTTTAATGATATTAGTTACAAACTAAATACGTAACGAGTTTTACGTATTAATGGTTTGTATAAAAATATAGGGTTGGTTTCAAGTTTTCCTTCTCTTTCCTTCTCACAGCACTGCAAAGAGAAGGAAAACTTGAAACAAACCCTGTACCAACCCGTCTGGCCAGCGTGGTATAGTAGGCCAAAACCTCCTTTCTAAGGAGAGGCCTATGTCCAGCAGTGGACTAGTATAGGCTGTTGATGATGATGATTTCCTTCTCTTTGCAGTGCTATTGTCCTGCGTAGTTTGTTCTCTTAGTCGGCTCTTACGACACCCAAGGGATGAATAGGGTTGGTGACATTCCGTATTCTTAATCCGTCACCACACGGGCAATGAGGGATTGGCCTACTATACCACGCTGGCCAGACGGGTTGGTATAGGGTTTGTTTTCCTTCTCTTTGCAAAGAGAAGGAAAACTGAAAGTTGGTATAGTAGGCCAAACTCTCCTTTCTAAGGAAAGGCCTATGTTTAGCACTGGACTGTTATAGGCTGTTGATGATGATGACATAAATATATAATACGTGTAAGTACTAAGGAAGTAAATTACAACACCACTGCAGACAGAAGGAAAAATTGACACAAACCCTATACCGACCCGCCAGGCCAGCGTGGTATAGCAGGCCAAAACCTCCAAAGGCCTCTGTCCAGCTGTGGACTATTAAAAGCTTGACATTTACGCAGGCAGAACCGCGGGCAAAAGTTAGTTGATAATGACTAGATAATTATGCAAAATGTATGCATATGTGATAATAAATTTGTAAATAAAAAATAAGCATCGGAAATAGAAATAAAAAGCCGAAAGATTTAGGTCATGGTCTAAGCAAATTTAAGTATAATAAAATTTACATTTCCTGTACGTCTTTAACCATCTTATCTTTTTTAATATATTTATTGTTTTCGTGTGTGTGGCACTGAACTTCACCTAAGCCGCTGGTCCGATTTTGATGAAATTATTTGTGTTTGGGATAAAACATGTTTGATTGAGCCCCTGGATGTTTATTTATTTTGCTTGTATTTTATACAATTTTTACGATCATTACCTGCACGTTCTACCACCCTTAATCCCAAAATAAAAGATTCCAAGGGATGATAAAAATACTTTTACGCTAACAAAGCTGTGTAAAAACACTTTTTGTTTGGGCCCATGTGGTCCCGACGAAAAAAAGTTATTAAGTCTAAAACACGTTAAATTTATAACAGTTGTAACATCTGTGTGTGATACACTTCACAGAACATCTGCCTTTTAGTGTATCTGTGGCAGGATAACTGCTAAACGGATGAACCTATTTTGACTATGATTTTATATTAGGAGAAAGTTCAATTTTTCTTTGGTCTAGGCATGCCTGGAATAAAATTTAGTGTTTAAGTAAAATTAATAGAAGAATATTCATTAATAGTATTATAAATTCAAATGTATGTAACAAAAACCAAATTTATTTTATAAAATTTTAGTTTCTACTTGAATTATATATTCTTATCGTTTCTTTTTACATTATTTATTTAACCGATTCGTTTGTCGAGTTTAACGCTCCAATTAAAATTGTCAGTATTGCTTAATTAGATTCTTACTAAGAAGACATAGTCATCATTTTATTTTATTTTCCAACCTGAGTAAGAAAAGTATATTTCATACATAATCTATGAATCATCCCTTCTTTTGCCGATTGATTAGTTTCTCATGGCACCTTTTTTCAATAGTCATTCACATCGAGGAACATGTAGGAACAAGGAATTCGTTCATTTCATTTTATGCACAGCTGGTGGTGCCGCACCAGCAGAACATTCAAATTCAGTAATTTAAACTATATTTTTGGCCGTTTGGGTTCGAGGATCATGGAGTCTGAGAACCCTTTCCGTGTTTAAGAAAATAGCCATAGCCAATACCAGAAGGTCCAGAAAACTTGCATCTTATGGTTGAACGCGATAATCTTTGGCACTAAAGTTCTGATTTGAAGGAAACTATATTACTTACTACTGCGCTGAGTGTTGTGGGTCCGATCCCTACATGGGACAACTGGGACAAGTGGTCTTTAAAAAAAAAATAAAAAAATAAAGAACCTAGTCCTGGACCCACAGTTATTCACCATTAATGTGCAAAACAGTCCCCTTTGCAGAGGATGTCTCAAACCATTGGAACCGGCCGCAGACGTAATCCTGGAATGCTAGGGGGTGGCCACTCAACGGGCTAGTATCATACCTGAACACCCCAGGAGGCTTCTGTGATTCTGGAAGGAGCTCGGTTGGCTAACTTTTACGCGTTATGGATTGTTTTTGAGATTAAATGCTGCAACTTGAGCCCAATGCCAGTATCAATACGATAATATTAATTTATATGAAAATTTTACAGGTTTCATAATATTATGACATTTTACTAAGTAATATTTATGCTTTTATCTCTAATATATAAAATTCTCGTGTCACGGTGTGCGTGGTTGAACTACTCCGAAACGGCTCGACCAATTTTCGTGAAATTTTGTGTGCAAATCGGGTAGGTCTCAGAATCGGCCAACATCTATTTTTCATACCCCTATTTTTTTTTAACAAAAATATTTGGAATATTGTATATGGCAAAACAACGTTCGCCGGGTCAGCTAGTATTAGTTTCAATAGATTTATCAATGAAATAAGAGTTTGTTTAAAATAGTAAAAGAAAATATTAAATACCTAATATTTTTCGGTAATCTCAACGTTTCGTACCTGTATATTTTGAAAACGATGATATCCGCAATAGTAATAATAATATCTCACACACGGCCGCCTGATCCCGGACTAGGCAGATCCTGTACTATGGTAACCAGACTGCTGATAAACATGCTTATATATCTAAATAGATAAATTACACCCAGACACAGAACAAATGACCGTGCTCATCACACAATATTTGTCCTGGGTGGGTTACACACACACAGTCAGGGTCACTAACAACTAGTCCATCAGGCCTGTCAACCTGTGTTAAGACTTAAACGTATATTTATATAGAAATTAGCTGACCCGGCAAACGTTGTATTGCAAAACAAAAAAAATTAGGGATGGGTCACCCTTACCATTTAGGGGTATGAAAAATAGATGTTGGCCGATTCTCAGACCTACCCGATGTGCACACAAAATTTCATGAGAATCGGTCAAGCCGTTTCGGAGGAGTACGGGAACGAACATTGTGACACGAGAATTTTTTATATATGATTTAATACATCACAAATATTCAAAAATACTATGTAAACTAATGCAGCAAAGCGTACAAGAGATTTTTTTTTAAATATACCAAGAAAAAAAACAATTTCAATGCAAATTCAAATAGAAGTTGCAGACGTTCATGGGCGGCGATGGTCACATTCCATCAGGTGACCCATCTGCTCGTCTGCCCCCTCTACCATAAAAAAAAGTAATACCTGAATATCAAATGTATTATATATATATATATATCTTCCTGAAAAGAGGTACAACAGGTTATTACTGTAATACCCTATCGCTTTTCAGTAAAAGCATAAACTACGAAGCCTCCTTTTTTAAATCGGTTAAAAAAAGATACATTAGGTACTTTGACCTTTAATAAAAAAAAAACATTTAGATTTAAGGTAAAAAAGGTTACTAGGATAGATATACATATTACATCATTTACGTTAATTATACGTTAATGTAAAAGAAATCTACGTTTATTATTATTTGTTACTTTCCTAAGGTCACCGGTTGTTACGCGGGCAAAAATATAATTAATCTTTACGTGAAATTGAATTACAAATTTCCGTGCCACAGTTACAGGTCAACTTAACTACATACTATGTAAATTATTCCTCAGATGTATATTAAAATCATACATACCTTGAAAACAAATAAAATACACAGAAAATGCACACACTATTCAACAGCAACTTATTAATATAAAAACTTCAATATATTTAGTCAAGAAGAAACTATTTTAAATTGTAATTATATTAAAAAATCGGGAGTGTACCGCAAGAGCGTCAATACGTGCGCTTACGACCGCCACGAAACGCAGACTGAACAAAATACTCGTATACTGACACATATTGTGTTCCAAATTTAAAATAACGCACATGTCATGTTGACAGTGCCGGTTGCCGGTGATACGGTGATGTATGCATTCCACAAGCAGTGTAACTCGCGCAGCTGGGCTTCATATAAAAATTATGTGTAATGGATTATGGCATATTAATTATTTATGATAACACCTGTTTCAATATAAAAAACACTTATTATCTGAGTACACGTTCAAGGTTAAATTGACGTTTTTAATATAATATTATCAGGAGCCGATAACTGTCAGTGCAGTATTGATTAACGAAAATGTTCAAACACTATGGCTGAATAGTGAAATTATATAATATTCTCTCGCCTATATCCATGACGGGGTAGGCAGAAGGAGGTAAAAAACCCAAATTTTGCCAACTATACATTTTAATCTGACTTACGCAACAGGAGTTAAACCTATCATTGCCGTCAAAAGATTCTTAAGGGATTGTGAATTGAGATGGACATATAGGAAAGAAAAAGAGGGGCTCTTGGCTAATTGGTACTCCAGTAGGTTAGCATCGCATAGTTTAAGTAATCCTAGCCAGGTTAGTCTATGGATGGGTGACCCCTCCGTGTTTCAGAGAGCTCGTTAAACCGTCAGTACCAGTTGCCATACGAACATATTTGGCAATCGTTACGGGTAGATGCGGACCCTAAAATCTCCAACAACAGTCTTTTTACAGAACTTCGATATCGACTAATATTAGGGCTGTGAAGGTCTGATGACAGCCACTCCGCGTAATAAATCGATCTTCAACCGTATGTACAGCGTCCTTCGTTTTGACGTTTAATAAAAAGATACTGAACGGTCATGGACCCTAATTTTTTGTATTTTGGAACGAAGTTCCTTATCGCGCGTTGTGGAAGGGGGCTAGACGGAAAAAATTCGTACGATGGATACCATACATTAAATTTGCTTTAACGTTCGCCAACGTCCATACCATGTTGAATACACCGGTTCTCGTCTGATCACCGAAGTTAAGCAACATCGGGCGTGGTTAGTACTTGGATGGGTGACCGCCTGGGAATACCACGTGATGTTGGCTTTTTGCTCTTTATTTTCGTGTCATCTTGTCAGACATTCAGCGCCATCTATCGACTAGATAGGAAATCATTTCGCAAGGAGATTTTACCAATGTATAAATTGTTTTAATGGTTTTAATATGTAGGTAATAGCCGCTTTCATAGATGGCGTTGTCATTAAAATCGTGTCAAATCAGTTTTACTCGATCGTCACAACTTCGTTCCTATCGGGTGTCACACGACACCACACGGCTTTTTATCTTTTTTTTATGTTTGTAATTTAAAACAACGTCATTTATTTATTAGAATCTCCTACAAATGATATACACAAGTAAAAAACAATAACTAACCAAAGAGGTAAAAAGTCGGTGTAGGTACTCCTTGTACACTTACTGGAGACCACAGCAAGCACAATGGAAAATAAAACATCAAACAAGCGAACAAAGTTACAAGCAATAAAGAAAATTTAAAGGCCCAAAAGGTAACAAAAAATAGAATTTTAAATTTTATTTATTTATTTATTTATACATCATGCACTTTTGGTGCATTGGCGAACTTAATGCCAAAGGCATTCTCTACCAGTCAACCATTGGGTGATGCAGAGAGAACAGGAAGTAGGTGCATTTTGGTTAAAGTTTGATAGTAGTTATAATATCAAATACTCGTACATAAACCTATCATACCCTAGAACCCTTACACATAATACATACGTACATACATATACACAAATACATACATACCTAAATAAATACCATTAATAATAGTAGATGATAATCAAACGTCAGTTAATTCTGCCAGTTGTTTTGCAAAATACTGCTTCACTTTAGTTTATAAATTTTATGAAGCGATATGGTAACTTCTTAACACGCGTTTGACTTGGGGAGTAAGCTGATGATGGTGTGACGAGGGCGTTACGAAAAGTGTGATCGGGCGAGGCGAACGGAACTTTGAAGGGAGATATAAGTTAGTGAAGATAGAAAGAGAGAGAGTTACGTTTCATATGTTCTCATAGCCAAGAAGTTTTACTTCAGTCGTGTGGTCTAAAGCACACTCGTTTTTTTATTGATGAGGGTTTACTTCCCGTTTGATCCTACTTGAAGAAAACATCAAATGAAGAATCGTGGTTTGGAGTTTTTTATTTTTAAATTAATTTTAAACATTACATAGTGTGACGCAATACTTATGTAATATAATATGCTGCATCATGGTCTTGAAACTATTAATATTTATGCCATAACAAAACGCGCAACATAAATTTACTTTGTTTGTCCTTGGCGCGAGTTTAATTATTCAAACAATTGGTGTAAGTAATCTTTATATAGTATAAAATAAAGTCACTTTTTTGTGTTGTACGCTTAAATCTTTTGAAATAAGCAACGGATTGTAATACGGTTTCTACTAATAGAGAGAGTGATTCAAGAGGAATGTTTATATGTATAATACTTGCATATTTTAGTAGAGAAAATTTGAGAATTTCAAAGATTTGTCGTAATTTTTTTTATGTTTTTCAACAAGTAAGCGAGGTAACCGTTAGCCCAATTTTATTTTATTTGGGGAGCTTACAGATACAGTATGTACATGTAAATATACAGTAAATTGTGGTACATCGATGATATAGAATATCGGCCATCTGGACGCGCAAGCCATCAGACACCTGACATTTGAAATCAAATAGTAAAGTCAGACACGTCGGTGTTATTCAATACTTAATCAGAAATTATTCTTTAATTGCCGCTAATATCATTAAATTAATGATAGTAAAATACATAAATCATTACTTATTGGCCCTAAATTACATGGGTATTTCCATAATAAAAAACTACAAGGTAAATGATTTAGATAGTATAATAAAAATACTTTGATGTAGTGCCTTTAAGAACAAATGTATTACGAACGAAAAAACCCGACGTTAATCTGTCAGCGGCGAGCAGATACATCTTAAAAAAGTTTTTTATCTCTTTTGATATGGTTTTTATAAACGCGATTCAATAAATAGTAATGGATGATCTGTCCATGTTTTATAAATGCTGGTCATCGTAATATTGTATCAGTACGTTTGTGTGATATGGCAATTCGATTTGCGCAACTTCTGGCAGGAACTGGATGTGAGAAGCCCAAAATCGATCTAAGTGGCGTGCAATGGGGGAGGTCTATTTAACTATGTCCAACAGTGGACTGCGATAGGCTGATGATGATGACGTTTGTGTGATAATTATCCATATGGTGACGGATTACGAATACGGAGTGTCAATACCCATATTCATCCCGTGGGTGTCGTAAGAGCTGACTAAGGGAGCAAACTAAGGACAACAGCGTTGTAATGAGAAGGGAAACTTGATAAAATCCCTATACCAACCCGTCTGGCCTATGTTCAGCAGAGGTCTAAAAAAGGATTTTGATGATGTGTAATAATAACACAAGAGCTGGTTCAAAAACTTTCCAAAAAAGATGTAGAATTCGTTAGTGAATTAGTTATGAAAATTAGTCCATTATCTTCTTTTTTACGGATCGAATACTACTTCTATATATTTTAGTCATATTAACTCAGGTTAAAAAGGCATTTCACAGGTAAAACTATTATTAACATCAAAAAACATTATAAGTCGCAACCCATTTGCCACACAAAAGTATTCGCTGTATTCCAATAATCGCCGCATTCAAACGCAAAAAAGAACAGCGCGTTTTATGCGGTTTACTTTGAAAGTAAATGACCCCACCACGTTCAAGGTAATCGGAGTGGCCGTTTCTTGTAATTCACAATGTTTTCTTTATATGAAGTTGTGAGAAATTGTGTTTCCAATGATACTGAGTTCAAATTGCTTCGATTTTTATGGTGCAGGGCGCTAAACCAGCAGACGGGCATGCAGGATGCAACGCCGCCCTTTAAAACTACTAAGATTAAGGGGGTAGATTCTGAAAGCCGCTAGGACAGATAGAGTGTGATAATATATACTATATACAAATAAATAAAATTGAAGTGTCTGTTTGTAATGTCAATATACGAGGGCTGCTATTTATGTATCCGGAACTGGACAGTTACAGAACAATATTAAAAAAGTAATTACAACATTTAAAAATGGCACTCTTTGGCTGAAGAATACAATTTGTTTCACGTAGCTGTCATTTGTTTATCCTTTGTGGCGTCATTTTGAAAATTGCGTGTCTTTATAGATTTTACTCGTGTAAATTTTCGTGCTATAATTTATTACAATTTTCGGCGATCAACTCACTTCGACTTTTGGGGACGAAGTACCATCAAAGTACTATCAAAAACAACTCAGTGGTTTAGTAAGTTTAATTGAGTGCGGTCACGGACGAATTTAATGAAGGTCGCCCTAAATCGGTTGTTGTACCTTAAAATATTGATGCTGTGCGGGAACTAATAATGCAAGATCGTCATGTTACATATCGCGAGATAGAGGCGTCTCTGGGAATAAGTATGACGAGTATATATAAAATATTACACGAACATTTAGCTGTAAAAAAAACTTGTTCACGTTGGATTCTGCACAATTTGAGAAATGAACAAAAACGGGCTCGTGGCGATTGGTGTAAAAAAAAATGTTGCAAAAGTACAATCACACTTTTTTTACACATAGAACGAGCACTTGGATCCCATGACTCAAGCGTCTCGACGCTTTATTATATGTGTGTAGTATAAATATAACTTTTTGCAAGTCATGGTATCATTTTTTAGACTCTTACAAGAATTAATTTACACTAATAACACTTTTAAAAATATTTTAATCCAACACAGATAGCTTAAATAGTGAGTCCATCTACTGTTAAACGGCGTGAGGGGTTTAGGGACCTTTTTTTTATGTTAGAGGGGGCAGACGAGAAGACGGGTCACCTGAAGGAAAGTGACTATCGCCGCCCATGAAAATCTGCAACTCAGGAGTCACAAACGGGTTGCCGGCCTTTTAGGAAGGAGTACGCTCTTTTCTTGAAGGTCGTATCGGTCCGGAAATA